TGCTGCTTCTCTTTCATCACTATAGTCTCTTTCCTTATAAGTTGCAGGATGGAATTTGCAGTCGGGCTCAGAGACTTCACAGATCGTCAGCTATATCTGTGAGTGGACAGGTGGTCAGCACTGTCGGTGTGGCGTTCTGCAGCTAGATCAAGTCGCTCCACTCAGCATATGGACACGCATGGCAGGGTAGAGTTTGGCAGAAAGCCCAAACGCTCTATCAGGAAACGGGTGCATTTGGTGGAAAATTCCAGAAGACCCAGATACCTTACCAGGCATTTGTTTTCTTACATAAGTGTAACAAACCCCCAGTGGAGCATCCTAGAAATGAGCCAAGTAATAGCAGCCTCCCATTTATAGGTCAATGGTTCATTTACAGTGTCTCGCTATGGACTTTCCAAAAGAGCCAAAAAATGCAGCATTTGCAGGTGGAACTGTTAAAGGTTGCAAGGTTTGCAAATAAGTACACTTTCTTCTTTACTTTTCTGGGTTGCATTTCAAGATTTTTTTTTTTCATTTTTGTTGTTGTTACTTGACTTTTCCAATTTGACATATACAGCATGATTAAGTAGGGATTTGATTCCATGTATTAGTATGTATCCATGTGTGCATTACACTCCACCGTGCTTTTTCGATCACTCAAAAGTTTGGACCAAGCTAATGTATGCTTTTCATGCAATCTTAAAGCTGCACTATGTAGGATTTGGGGATTTGGAGACCTCTCTGGAGGAAACGTGTAATTGCACACACTGTGAACAATTTGTGACGTGGATTGTGCTTCGGACCCCTTTCCTGAGCAATGAATCTGATGACTGCAAGTGTGTTGAAAGAGTTTCTAAAGAGAACTTGGTCAAAACTTAGTGTAGGATATTTCCTCTGAGGATGTGAGTGAATTATTTTCTATTATCATAATATCTTCACCAGTATAATGTTCATTTTGTATTTGAGACCTAAATATTGAGCCAGACCTTCTTTTTGAGCCTGTGCGTGTGACGTTAATATGTAAAGACGTATGACGTGCTCCGAAACACTCTAACAAATTCTGACCCGACACCACTGACTTTTTATTTACTCTTTCAGGTTTACAGGGTGACTTGCACCATATTTTACATAGTTTTACTACTACTAGAGCTGCTTTAGGCACATTTTGTTTGATGCTTAAAGTCAAATTGCAAACTCAAAATGGACCTTTTTAACTTTGTTACTTCATGTGTCTGGTCAAATTAAGCATTGAATCATCACATTTAAAAGACAAAATGCTTGTTATCTGACCTTGAATTTTGATAATGTCATCATGCAACAGTGGGGTGAAGAAAAATAACGTCAAACAATAAAGTCATGTTCCACCCCCACACCACCCCCACCTATCATAGAGCGAAACCCCTCAGCTAGCTCAGAGACCCTCCCTGATACAAGTGAGGATTCATGAAGCAAGAGCCGGCATCTCAAAATACTTCTGTGAACACAATCACATGGTTTTGATGAGAGGGGATGGGGCTTCATTCCCCCTTTAAGCAGGTAACAGAGACTCGAGACCCATTCACACCAGTGGGAAATTCTGCCTATTTCAGCCAACTTCAGCGATTATATTTTCCCCCTTAAAGATTACAACAAACTTGTGACCATTTTTGTGATTGCCAAGGTCTTGTGACTATTAAAAGCCTAAAAATGTGTTTGCTATTGAACTGATTTAAAAAAAATCTTATTTCGGGTTTGTTCAGCCTGGCACCTAGTTTTTTTCTGCTCAGGCTGCTTGCATCAACCACCTAGTGACAAAGTGGTTGATGCAAGACTTAAGCAGACAGGAGATGTACCTCTTTTCACCCCAATTATTTAAATAGGCATGCACCATCTTGGTTTACCTTACATATGAATTTGCTGATACTGCGCTTAATGTAATAAAATAGTGTAATGCAATATAGTTGCTAACATACAAAATTTGTTGAGTTATTCATGTCTCTAAAGAAATAAAATAAATTTGTAAGTATTTTTGTCCTTGTATGTAATTTGCGTGCACATGCACTACAGCTGGCTGCAACTGTGAATAAAACCAGCGTAGAGAAAGCGTGCAGGCAAATACACTGCTGTAAACTCTAAGAGCAATCTGTCAAATCATCCAACAACGCACAACAGTAAATATGAACCTCATGGAGAGAGACCGCATGCTGAAGAGCCCCAACCTCACATAAACATGCATATCTTACAAGCTTCAACTGTCGGTCTTAGCAGAAATATCTAGCAACACTAATCATTTAAACAAATGTTGCTAACAAAGTAAAGGTTTAAACAATAAATCCTGTTGTATAGTGAAATGTGCAGCTAGCACAGAAAGAAAATTGAGCTATTTTGGTTTGGCCTCATTGTTTGAAATTGAGTATAGAGTGCCCACACACTCTGCTGCACCCCAAAACTGAACACTTGTAAATGTGCACCATGTCAAACTACACTGTTATGCAGAGCCACATGTGAGGATATAGTAGAGCGACATGAAAGGATATAAATTATCCCCCATAATCAAACTGACATCTTTTATATATATTTTTTCTCAAGCTTTCTTTCACCTAGGAATGTAATCTTTGTCTTTTGTGTCCCTGTGAGGTCTGTGACATGACCTAAAAACTTATTTATCTCCAGTCTAACCTACCAGACATGGCTGCGGCCTGTGGTACAGGAGTTTGAACTGGGTATTTACTTCATTGTTTAACTGGGTGAAAGGTGACCACTTGGGGACCTTCAGGGCCTCGAGCCTGACTGAGAGCGACTCTTGCTGACATCATTAAGAGGGACACTGTCTTTGCTGACTCAATCTCACCAAAGACACTGGCTTCAATTTTGTTTCTAAGCCCATCCAAGTCTGCATTCTGACAGTTTTGATTTGTAATGATGAATCAGCAATTGTATATGTAGACTGCCTAATTTACATAGGATTTGCATAAAGCTATATTTGCTTTAGTCTGTTAGACAGGAAGACATCGGCAGATGCTCTCACCCCCAGCACAGTTTGATTTTCTTTAAGCCTTTGCGTGTGAGGTTGTGTGTTTGTTTTTCATACATTTCTAAATGTATTCGTTTATCTTAGACATGCTGTGGTAAATTACACAACTGCCAGTAGTTCAGTAATGGTATGTATTAAACCAAATAAAAGTAATTCCAAGGTGGTTAGGGAACAGTGCAAATATCCACCGATCAGGCATAACATTATGACCACCTCCTTGTTTCTATGCTCATTGTCCATTTTATCAGCTCCACTTACTATATAGGTGCACTTTCTACTTCTACAATTACAGACTGTAGTCTCTGAACCCCATGGACCCTCACAGAGCAGGTACTATTTGGGTGGTGGATCATTCTCAGCACTGCAGTAACACTGATGTGGTGGTGTGTTAGTGTGTGTTGCACTGGTCTGAGTGGATCAGACACAGCAGTGCTGCTGGAGTTTTTAAACACCTCAGTGTCACTGCTGGACTGAGAATAGTCCACTAACCAAAAATATCCAGCCAACAGCGTCCTGTGAGCAGCGTCCTGTGACCACTGATGAAGGACTAGAGGATGACCAACACAAACTGTACAGCAACAGATGAGCTATCGTCTCTGACTTTACAACTACAAGGTGGACTAACAAGGTAGGAGTGTCTAATAGAGTGGACAGTGAGTGGACACAGTGTTTAAAAACTCCAGCAGCACTGCTGTGTCTAATCCACTCGTACCAGCACAACACACACTAACACACCACCATCACGTCAGTGTTACTGCAATGCTGAGAATGATCCACCACTCAAATAGTACCTGCTCTGTGGTGGTCCATGGGGTCCTGACCACTGAAGAACAATGAGCGTAGAATCAAGGAGGTGGTCATAATGTTACGCCTGATCGGTGTATTTAAAACTGTATCAGTGTACAACATACAGTACGTACACAGATAATCGCAGACTTACTGCTAGATTAAGATTTTGAGTAAGACAGGAAAATACTGTGCTGCTTGAAATTTGATGTGAAGGCGATGCCCATTTATAAGCTTTCCAATATATTTAAATGCTTTCTCCATCACTTACAGCTTCAGCAAACTTTAATGCTAAAAAATGATTACCATCCTAGTTACTGTGTTGTGATAAGTTACTTAGTGAAATGTCTGTCCTTAATGCATTTAAGCCAATCAGCTGTTGACTAGTAATCCCATACATTACTTGAGTTTTGTCGTATGCAATAATGCAGACAAAAACAACACACATTTAAACATGTAATGGTGAAATGGCAGTGGTCTCCAACCATGGTCCTGGAGAGCCATCTTACTGCAGAGCCTAGTTCCAACCACAGTTTGGCACATCTGCACCAGCTAATCGACCTCTTCCAAAGTCCCTGATTGGCTGGATCAGATGTATGTTAAGAGTTAAGTAAAGGGCAGAGCAGGTTATTGGATACAGGTTGGAACTAAACTCTGCAGGAAGGTAGATCTCCAGGACCAGGGTTGAAGACCACTGATCTAAGGTCTGGCTATCATATTGGCTGGTTGATAGTACTGGCTGATATTTGAAGCCTCCAGATTTGTCGATATCAGTGAAAAGCCTGTTGATAAAGACCTAAAGTTTTTGTGTTCCTCCTGTTCGAATTTAAGATGACTGACAATCTCATCAGTGAATCACCATTAAACCAAAAGTACTCAAACTTGTTTAACAAGATAAAATTATATTGGCTGCAATTGTTGGTTATCAGAATTTGTTTCCGCTTTATATTGGTTGGGTTGTAACATCTTCATGCTTTTACTTATTTAATATATGCTTTTTTTGGGACAAAGCAGCTTATACACAATCCTTCACCTGACTTGAATACAGTATTTATTACAGTGGTTTCTGACCCTGGTCTTGCAGTATCCCTTCTTAGCATAAAAGCAGAAAAATATGAAAATGTGCAGGATGTGTTCTACACGATGAGGCTTCCTTGCATTGTGTTGGTGGGTTTACTTCTGAACTTCTACTGTTGAAAGTGAGGCACATCCCAGCTCCACATAATTTGCTCCAAGATGTTTTAATTGGAAAAAAATCAGTTTCAAAAATACAAGGAAAGTCCAGGGACAGGGGGTGCAGGTGCAGACAGAGCTCCAAGAATAAGGACATAACTTGCTCATAAATTAAATAAGTTGTAAATGGCGACACCAATATTTGTAGTACAGAGGAATCTGTTGTCAAAACACAATACCAGTAACTATAGTGAGTGAGAAGTCAGTGCATCCTTAATGTAAGTGAAGTGAGAATTAGACTTAAAATAAACACATCCACACAGCCTCCAAGACCCAGCGGATCAGGCTGCACTGCTAGACGTGCACCTGGATTTAAGCAGTTAAGAAACTGAGAGTTAAGACTGACTATCAATAAAAATAACTGAATACCGGCAAAATGTATGCAAACAAACAGAAAGGTAGATTAGCAAACTCATGATTACCTAGTAAACAATATACAAATAACTTATTCTTTTATGACAAAGATTGGCATTTAACGAACCAAAAAAGACTTGAATGGCCACATTAATACTTCTAAACGTAAAAGGAGAAAACGGTGCAAAACTCAAATAGCACAGTGTGATATACAACAATAATTTGGCAAGACAAAAACAAACATAGTAGGAGCAAACAGAAGAAAACACTGAAGTAATAACTTCAAACAGTAAGCAAGGGACCCCTCATCCAGCTCCTTGAAATGCGTTCTACCCCCTTACAAACAAACAGCATGGAGAATTTCAAATTGGCAAAAATGCTGAAATTAAGCGATTCTGGCTTCAGTTTCAGTTCTGAAATAAAAATAATGCACAAAGAGCTTGATTTTCACAAAAGAGGCAAAAACGAGGAGACATGACAAGTTTGGATTAAACAAACTGATGGCACTGGACAAAGCTACTGCACACGCAAGCTGAGAACTCACAATATTTCTAAATTTCCCTAATAAACAAAAAAAAAGAAAAAAAACTTTCAGAGTATTACGGATAAACACAAAAAAAGGAAAGTGTTAAAATTCCAGTGCGGGTCGTACCTCGCCCAGAGGCCAGCTTCAACCTAAGATCAACCTGGGAAGGTGTGAAAAGGTGAAAAAGTGAGTAAGCAAACCAACCCTGTCACTGAAACAAGTATATACACAACACGAGGGCTGCAGTCTGCTGGCAGAGGAACTCGTTCCATCCACATGGCTCAGTTACACAAGGTTCTTAAATATTCACACTAAAAACCTAATTTCTAAACTAAAACCCCCCAAAAACATCTGGAATGATGGCTCACCTCACCAAGACAAGTCTCAAAAGCACAGCAAAGTTCTCTGTTTGCTTATGCGAGTCCAGAATGATGTTGCACTTGGAACACAGAACATTGGAACTGACCATGACTAACTCATCAACCACTATGAGCGTAAACTAACAGCGTCAGCGCTAAAGTCAAAACGGTGTAGTGATTTACTCAGTAATGGTAAAACTAGAGAAAGCATGTAAGGACTAAGGATCTGCTGTATTAAGAGCCATTTCTACATTATAAAAACACAGGACAGCTGTAGTATATGGCTACAAGCATGCAGACATTAATGCCTTTACATGGCTAATTCTCATTTTTGCATACATAGTCTGGGACGCATTTCTCAAATCAAGGATGGGGTGGTACCATAAACAAATATCAATGTCATCCTATCATACATGAGACGTCCAGCTTCTGCTTATTCGGAAAGTGACCTTTGTGTTCAATTTTAGGGGGAGGAGGCTAAAAATGACCAGATTCTACAGTGGAAATACACTTGCTTTAAAATAGTGCTCCAACTCTCCGGCACCTTCAAAAACACTTCAAACCGTAAAAATCTGTGCGATGGTGTATTGAGTCCAGCATGCCAGTGTGCACTTCCTCTGCGTTAGTCTGTGTTGGGTTTGAAGTCCGTGCTGAATGCCTGAGTGCCTCTAGGTATGTTCCGTTCTACGTGTGTAAAGGGAATTGGAATCACTTGTCTACTCTACTGCATTGTGGGACAGGAGGAGGCCAGGACACTATAAGAAAGCGCTGGGGTTCGCCCGGGGGTCTTTCTGGTTCCTGTAGCGCATGGCCAGCCAAACTCCCAAAATCTGAAAGAACAAAAAAGAACAAAGCAACCATTAAAACCGTGACTTAATAATAATAATAATAATACAGAGATACAAGTTGGTGTGACGCTTACTGGTTCTAAGATAGCATAGTATTAAGCCCAGGGACAATTATACCGTTTAAAAATTCAATTCCAACATCCTCCAACGTCTTCCTGCCAGTACGTTTATATATGATGCTGTGCAAAAACCCAGAGACCCTTCATTTATTTAATTTCTAGTCAAAACAGCCATTAAATACATCTGAAAATAAAAGGCTGAAAACACATTCAACGGAAAATCACAAAGAAGCCTGAACAACTAAATATAATTTTTTTCAGTAGTGTGTCCATAATTTGCCTTTATCACAGATTCCATTCTTTTCAAGAGATTTCCTTTCAGCTTTTCAGATTTCTTTTTTCTTTTCCACACCTCCGAAGTTCAGTCTTAGAAGTTGGTTTGTACTTTCTGCTTAGCACACAACAAGTAATCCACATCACATTCAGTGATGTTGAAGTCTGAACTCTGGGGTGGTCAATCCATTGTTCTGAGAAGATCAGCAGCTTCTTTGCTTGATTTGAAAATGTTCTTCCATTTCCTTTCCTCATATAAAAGGCTTCTTGACAGCTGCACATCCTTTCAGACCCATGGAAGGATAAACAGACACCTCATGGGTCGACACTGCATTTTAATTAGCATTTTTTTTCTTTTTTAACAAATCATCAGACCAGTGGAAATTTTAAATATTTAGAAACATCCAAGATTAATAATAATGCAACACAGTCGGACACGGAACAATGTGCCTCAAATCAGATTTTGTCGGTAACTGTAACATTACCACAGCAATAGGTGATGTGTCTGCAATATAAGGGCAGAAAAAAAAAAAAAGTATGATTCCTACACACCAGTACTGTTTCCAAACCTCATTTGGCAAGCCAAGAATTCAGGTCAAAAGTCTCTAAATGGGAAGGTTTAAAACAAATGCTCCATTTAACAGCCCTTCAGCTGCTTTCTGCATACACAGCAACATCACATGAACATGTTATGCTGAATTCAGACAAACAAACGCTGCTGCCACAATCTAGCCTCTAAAAACCACGACTCTGCAGCGGAAAATACAGCAACCATGCAGAGCTAGCGACCAAAAACATTTGGTTTTGGTACATCTGGTTCACAGCTCCAGTAGGGGATTATTCAGCGAGGCTGTGGCTATTTCCAGACACAACCTAAAATGTTCCTGCACACTCTTGTTTCAGTCATGATCCACAGCATTCAAATGCAACAAATGTGTAGGGTTAAGACTTTGGAACATTCTCTGGATTCATTTCGCAGATCATTTTAGGCACAAGTTTGAATATCAGCACTTACTAAGCACATTCTAATATGAACTTGTGATGCTGCAACACTTAAGAATAGTTTTATCTACACAAACTTGATCTTAATCTCAAAATAAAGTGGTCTCAGGTCAGAGTAAAGTGGTGATTATTCATTGTTTTAGTTCATTTTAGATTGGATCCACTTTATAAAGTGGCTGCATGGATAAGGAGGCTGAAAAGGGAGCTTTCAGACGATGGGGGAAGTGGCTTACGTGTCACATGGCAACACAAGACATACAACCGTAACAAATGATTTAGTCATTGTTTGTTCTGTTATGAAGATTTGAAATGATTCTAAATAAGAGTAGCGTAATTTCAGACATTACTTTAGATTTCACCTTCATGTTTATCAGGCTTGCCTTGGTGGCCTGGGTTGCAGTATTTTATTTCTGTCCATGCACTGAAGTAACTGAATATTAAGATTGACAGCCATCAATCTGAACCCTTGATTCCAGTTTTAATATATCACATTGCAGTGGCAGAGCTGAACCACTAGAGGTCACACATGAAAAACTTTCAAATGACTGATGGATCAAAATGTTGTACATACCCAGCACCCATATCTCTAGTACTGTAGTACATTATGTATTTGGCTAAGCGATGATCCATGTAGTTATCTCAATTTTTGAAAAAGGTGGCCAGCAAGGCTCTCTTTCTGTGATTTTACCTACTCTTTCAGTTGAAGGTGAATGTTTTTCACACTAGTACAAATAACTTGAAAACATATAGAACTTGATAAAATGTTTTAGCAATAGCATTAACACTAGTGTATTACATGCCTGCAACCGTTTGGAAAACTGCACTACAAACTGGAGGGCTTGTCTGTGTTTATACTGACCTCTCTTTAGTCATTTTATAAGTGTGACGGCCCACTGAGGCTAAGGTCCACATGTAAAGTGAATATGGTTTGTTAATGGTTTGTTAGTACCATGTATAACAATCCATTGCCAAGGTATAAGCTTTACCCTTTTTCTGTTTTTTATCACATCAGCAGTGCAAAAGTAGCTGAACCTTGTACTGATGTTATTTTAACATGACCTATATGTGGTCCTTTTAGGTCCTTTTTAGTTTTCTATGCCATCTTTCAACTCTATCTTGCTAGAAGTGAAAAAAGCAGCAGTAGGGTTTTACCTTGTGTTACCTTTACTAGCACTAGGTTACTATTTTTGCCTTGTAAAACTTTATTGATATTTCTAAACATGGTGCTGATACGCTGGCTTCTGCTGTTTCCTCTAGGACACCTGTCTGCAGGGTGGTTCAGGGAGTGGTGGTTTAGAGAAAGCATGAGATTAACTGAATACGTTTTATATTGGTACTATGAATCCTGGGACAAGTAGGAATGTGATATCTGGTGCCTTTCTAGAGAGAAGAGAACTATAACTAGATATCTTAAATATTTCTTTTATGTTTATTTACATGTGCTGGACATATGTTGGGTTGGGTAATGTTTTCAAAATTTGGTAAAATTGTTGTAAAGTAGCACAAATTTCTTTCCATTTAATTTTTTATACACCCCTGTAATGTTCAATTGTTTTACATCTGTATTACAGAGGCAGAGATCTGCTCTTATGTATTGTTTTGTTTTATGTTTATTTTTGGCTGTTCCACCAAAAAACATAAGAAGTAACGTGCAAAATCAAAAATCAACAGTGGAAGTGCTTTTCCAAGATAAAAAATAATTATTTTTCTTATTATTACATGAGAATGCGATAAAGTTGGATGCAGAATTAGAGCTGTTCCTCCAGGACAGACGCAATACATTCAGAGCGTTTATAACTGTGAACGGCAGACTTTACACAACAAATCAAGCAGGTAAATCTTAACCTGGGGGTCGGAAACCGCTTTGGGTATGCAACGTGGGCTGCAAGACATATACCTTATCCAACAGAGAGAAAATAATTTTCATGAGTGCATACCATCGCTGCTGAATGGCTAAACCTACAGGCCATGGAAGACAGGCTAATGTCGATTATGAATTTCTATTTGGTCAGCTTGTTACTGAAGTAAGGTACTTACTGACTACTAAATTTGCAGCACTTTTACAGCACCAGGCTAAAGATCTGTTGTCTATTTAGATGTATTACTGAAAGGTTAGATCTCTTATCTATCTATCTATATGTAAGTAATGAAGTAAGGCAACACCCTTAATAAACAGCCCACCTCACAGCTAGAAACTGAAGTCATGACAATCCCAAACTCTAAACTCCATAGGGCGCTGGCAATGCTACAAGCATGCTTTGTGTCAACAGATGGAAATGGGAAGTGGATCCAAAAAATTGTTGTAGCTCACCTATTAAAGGTGAGAAAAATACATCGCATTCAGCAATAAGGAGGCCTCATGTATGTGTTATATAGTGATAAAAACACAGAGAGCAGGTTGTACAAGCTGAAGTAGATAAAATGATTTTACCTGCCAACAGGAACATGCATGCAATGTATCTCCTCTGGCAGTAAAGCGGCTTTCTTTTTTCTTTGGGGCCTGGTATCGGCCCCATCAGGTTAATGTGGTCAAAAGCAAAAAATAAATAAAACAGTGGGGTCTGGACTGACCTCAGTAAAGCTGAAGAAGAGGCCGACTCCACCCAGGATCCTCAGGGCCTCAGACGCATGATCAAGCATTTTCTTTCCGCAAGTGGGGCAGGTGGGTTTACAAGACTGTGGTTGGATAGGAAAACACTGTTAGCATTTTACAAATTCAGGATGTTTCAAAAGCCTCTCAGTGTATTGCTAGCCCTTCTGTACTATTACCCCTACAGAGAATTTAATAAATTCTAAAAGGTATTTTGTATAAAATTATCTCTGCTATCTTTGTCATTCCATGCTTCCACATTTTGGCAGCATCTAAGACTTCTTCTGATACTGACAGCAACACAAATGGACACATCAACTTCAAACTGGGCATGATTCTCGGTGTTGTTGAAAAGGCCACAGCAGTCCAGCTCAGTCTCCAAGTTTCCCCTAGTCCCATTGCTCATCATTCCCCATGTAGAGTTTAGCACCACTTTCTGCAAGGCAACATCAACAGCACAAGTAAACACTCAAAAATAAAATATAATGTAAAAGCATTAACATTAATAAACTGCAAGAGAAAACATTCTGATATTTTAATTGAAAAATAAAGCCACTATCTTTGCATAAAAATTTGAATCTGATTTAAATGTCTGCTTTAAATGTCAACTCAGAGTACTGCACAGTAACTGCACATTGTTTAAACACAAACTCAGTTAACAGCCATCATCAACATATGAACAAAACCTACTTGCTGGCCTGGGTTCATGGCCAGGCAAGAGCAGGACACACCAAACTGGAAGAGGAAGACTATGAACAGAATGACCATGTACTGGTGAAGAGATTGAGAGTCAAGGCAAACCGGTAACCTTAGTGCCTAGAGTTAGACCTGTTTCAGTAACAGAGTCCTCTTATTCAGGTAATTGCATAGAAAGTAGCTGCAGTAAACAGTTAAACTCAGCTGGAAATGAGCTTGAAGCAGAATTCCAATGATCTTTCCAAATTTCTTCATAATTAAATAGTAAAACTGGTAACAGTCAGTCAGAGTGGTTTGATGCAAAATGCTCCATTCTAGACAAACTTGCAGAGTCAGAACTGTTCACAGTGGTGATGAAAAGAACTTGACAAAACGTCCTATTAAAATACAAAAAACATGAAGGTTCACAGACTAAAACAGCTTCAAACACCACATGGTCAGGGTCAATTCCAGCTCACCGCAGCTCCGCTGACACAGATTCAAAGAACAAAGATTCAAATCTGACTGAGCGAACCTGTTTTCGTGTAGAACCTTTGGCTACCTTGTGAACTCCAGGGGCTGTAAGCTTAGCGAGCAGACTAAAACCACTTCACATACTACAACACAGGTTTATTACGAGCCTTCTACACTAATGTCAGGATTATCAGCTCCACCGGGCTGCAATTATTAGTCAATTTAGGATTTAGCATTTCTTGAGTTATGAAAGGAAAATCTTGTCTAAATCCTGATTATTAATGTTACAGTAGGAGCTTATTTTTGTTTATTTTTTGTCTGCTCAAACAGTAGGATATTCCCCATTCAACAAAAACAAAACTCAGGAATATGGCATTGGGGAAAGCGTTAAGGTTTGAAAAAGGTTTACAATTTGCATAATTATGCATATTCATCCATACATAATGAGATGTAATGCTTCTCTGCCATTTTTAGTAGTTTTCTGGGCATAAAAACAATACATAAAAATATTTAACAATGTATTACTCAACACAGATTTTACAGGTGTTTTAAATATTAAGTAGAGAGCACAAATTATTATGACCAGTAACTGACTGTCATTAGTTGGCAATTTAACTGTAACCAGGAAGCCTTAAATCAATGACCCATTAAAATAAGTCATAAACATGATCCAGTTCCAATTCTGAAATCAGATATTTAAATTACTTGATATACACACAGTTATGAGCACACAGATCTATTGAATTTTGCATTAAAATATTAGAGATAAGTGTTCCTTGTATGGACTGTATAGATGGGACCAGGCATCAGCATGTATATGGAGTAAACAGCTGAACATACCCAACACAAGAAGTCTGATTTGATTAAACAGAGTGTCTGACAACTATGTTCATGATTATATGACCAAAAACTAAAAAAATGTTGGCAAAATGTCTGTAACATATAATGATGGGCTGCTGAAAGTTTTATATTCTAAAGTTGTATTTACCATTCATTACTGGCCTAAATGAAAAAAAAACCAAACACCAAAGCCCTCAGTAGCTTATGGAAGCTGGCACTGTCCACCACATCCTTCTATATAATATTACACAACCATGTGTGATTTCCTCACACTGCCATGTATCACACGTTCTCTGGTTGTCTGTCTCATCGTTTGCAGATATATGCTCCATAAGGTACATGGTTGCAGCTAGTTAAGTGCTACTGTCCTCTCAAAAAGTGGTCCCAAACCCCTCTACTTTTAGCTGGGCACTTTATTTTTTGTTCCTGTTAAAATGCATACAATTCGGAAAAAGTTCCTCAACTTGAATGATAACCTTATCTTTTCAACCAGGAACTGCTGTTGAATCAAATTAACATTTTATTAACGATAGCATGGGTCGAACCACCCGTTTATTTGTCGGTAAGCGGTTAATCAGTTTATTATTTACTTCTCTAGTGTAGACTGAATGCTAAGGTGAAAGACACAAACATTCCCCATGCCATACATTGTGTATGTAGATTTTCTAATGTTAACAGTGCATGTGAAAACAGGTACTTGTACACCTTGTGCAGGCACTGTAGAACACTGCCAGGCATGTGCTGAAAGGTATAAAAATTCATAGCCTGTGTAGCGTGAAAGAGACACAGGTTTTGCTAATAGATTCAGCACATGAGGCACTTGGTGCACTTCTCATCCCCCCATCTGATCTGTGTATTCAAAAATGGCTCTAGTTTCACATGGCTAAATTCAGCTGCCCGAGGGTGCATTAAAAATTAGAAGCTGACGTGAGAAAACTTCTCTAAACAGACTTTGATAAAGGATACAAAGAAAAGCATGACTTGGTGGTGATGGACGGCTCCAATGAGGCCCACAATGGCGATAAGCAGCAGGAAAAAGCCCACGGCGATCACGCCTCCGATGATGTGGATGCTGGATACAATCCCAAAGCCCTTCCCCCAAGCGGCTACACCAATCAGCAGCAGCCCCACCAACTGCGGGAAAGATGGGAAGCCAACAGAAAACAGAGTTGTATTAACATGCTACAGTTTTTTTCTAGGAGTGTACATCTCTGGTCGTCAAGGGCCGGTGTCCAGCACGTTTTGGGGATTTAATAGGGGATTACAAAACTGTGCTGGACACCAGCCCTCCAAGACCAGCGATGAATACCCCTGGTTTAACAATTCAACAGAAACTGCTTGATTAGTCTGTTGTGGCCTATAATTACGGCCACTTACAGCAAATAAGGCTGCGTTTCAATCAGTTCGGTACAATGAAATAAAACCTCTATGTCATGCTCATAAAAACACTTATATATAGTGCGTTGATTTGAGAAATCTTGAAAGCTGAGCTACGTCTCATTGCTGGGGTCAAATTATATGTTACGCTGATTTACAAAGTGAAACTAGAGCTCATTTCTGGATGTACAATTACTGAATTGCTGAATTTATTACATTCACATTTACATTATTCAATTGACAAATGAGTTTCCATTACCACATTTCTTTCAAATCTACCTCAATGTATACACTTATGTGCTGATTTGTTAATCTTAAAATAAAATGTCCTTTTTAAATTCTTTTAAAAATCTAAAAATATGCATAATAATATGTGGATGGAAACCTGTCACTGATCTACGTAAGGAATTAGCAGTTCAGTTTTAATAATCCAGGGAATACAACCCAATGATAATCATACTGTTTCACATTTTATAATTTTGATAAACATGTATAAATACCAGTTTCCAAGTGACAGTGGAAGTGCATACTGCTATAGTCTACCTGCCACAAACACGCTAAGATATAAATTATTTCAGTAAATCTAAAAAACAAGTGCTGGTGATCATTTTGTTTTCACTGTAGTAGCTGTGGCGAAGGTTTCAAAGTGTATTAGGAGTAGATTTTTAGTATATTTTCATAACAGGACATTTCCATACCATTCCAGCTCTATATCTGTATTAACTAAGGCCCCATTTACACTTGGCAATAACCTACATCCTGGGTGATCTGATCATAAGTGGACAGCGTTAAGTACAGGTGTGAATGGGGTATGAGGCGCCCCGGAGACACATTGTGATCCGATCACTCAAACCACCTTCGGAGGAAGTCAGGAAAGCATAAGACCGCATAACACTTACAGTGCGAGCGCTAAAGCGCCTTGGTGCAGCACAGGACCACCTTAATCAGCCGTGTCATCATAGCGGATCGGAATGCAGACGGGCAGCTTCATTTCTCACCTCCTCTAGCGTTTGTTTATGGTAGAGGAGTCACGTTGTTTACGTGCCGTTAGCGTTTCGTGTGGTCTTAATGTTTATCACATTTTTGCCCGACAACAAATGCAGCAAGAGACTGATGCTATAAATGTGGGTGATACCCGAAACCCGATCACTGGAGACACATACAGATGACAAGCGTAAACAGCTACACATCTCTCTGTCCACTTATGATCAGATGAGTCGAGACGGATGCTACCACTATGTGTGAACAGGGTCTTGGGGAGGGCCAAAGAGCAATGTTTCCAAAAATACTAAACAATGCAAATAAAGAAAATATGCAGGCTTCAATATTGTCCAATATTACACCATATTTTGTTGCTATAAAACCCTTAAAAATACAACGTTAAAAGAAAAATATGAAATAAGTTATGCAGTATACAAACGTTCTCTCAGCTGCAAGGAAAGACACAAATAACATTAGCAAAACTCAAGATGTCTCTGAATCAAGCTTTCAAACTGAATTAGAACAGGAATTTGGCACTCAGTGAGAAGAAGGAACATCATGTCACTCATGCTTGGTCTCAATTCTGAGTTAGTTTCATGGCTAGAGGTTGGAGAAAGTCCATATCTATTATTAACACAAGCACTTCTGATACCAACCTGCACGGCACGGAGGAAAAAAAGAAGAATGGAGCCAGTGCTTAAATCAGCCATTTTAAAGCCAAGTTTAGTTTTTCTTAGCACAAGCAGGCTTCAGCCTAGACGTGTCTAAATAATAAATGGCTACAGCCAACTGTAAAAGAGGTTTCTATGCTTTAAAAGTCTAATTCTGTCAAAATCCTTTGGAGCCTTCCACCCGGGATGCCTGTTCTCATCGCGGATCAAAGATCTAATCAGGGTTGAAGGATGAGGAGAGAGCAAAGCACAGGCAGATACAACAAAATACCAGTAAAAGGTAGTTTCCTTATTCTAATAAGCAAGAGTTTGTAGGAGGAGCCAAATCAGGGTCAAATTTTCATTTAACTTTCTATAAAACTGAACTAAAAATGTTCACCCTAGCGACAGCACCTTCAGTCCAATCTCTGTAGTGACACTATAGAGATCACTTTTATACCACATTTACATTGTTATTTGAGCCAATTTACATAGTCCATTCTACTACTAAAAAAAGGATGATGTGTCAGAAAACACAGCGCTGATGCAACACTTTTTTCATACATATCACAGCAGGGTGAGAAACAAAGCTTCATTAGTGACTAACAAAGTGCAAGTCGGTGACACAGTTCAGCCCGAAATAAAGCCCTACTGACCTTTCTATATGCAATAAACCTGTTTATATCTGAAGTGCAACCTGATATTAGCGTAAACATTCACACTGCAACTCGGTCACTATGACAGCAAGATGTAAGCAACCATCATAAATACACTTACAGTGTAAACAAGTGACATGAATCTGAATAAGCCTCTGTGTTGTTTAAAATATTTCTGGACTGACATCAATACAGATTCTGATTTTCAATAACTGGGTACGAGCGTGGCTCAAACCAGAAACGGATATGAGGGGCTGGAAGGAGGAATATTTAATTACTGCAATGTTTTTGGCTCACTGACACTTATAAGACAGACTACATGGGCATTGATTGGAAATTTAAAGTAATTAGGTCATCACTATAAAAGTACAGAACTTCGATACCGGCCCTAAATCTGAATAGTCCCAGAAAGTTAAATCCACCGAGAGTCTATTCTAGAAGATGAACTGTAATCCATAGGTAATATTATACCTGCTCACTATGAACAAGCTGGCAGACATTCACCAAGAACTCAAGATCAAACCAGGTCAAAACCAGCACCACAATACAGAAACATGCTGACAGTATTCCAACGAAGTTACAACCACACTGCCACCATTTTGGCAGGGAACATCAAGCTCATTGTGGTTCACAGTGCTGTGGCTGATTGTAATGAGATAAAGCCATAACTGATACAGCAGTAAACTCTTTTTGGGTCACTTTTTTCAATCTAATCTTTAAAGCATATTAACTGATATATTTGAGTGTTTTGCCTTGATTTTACTTATTTATCACTGTTTTAGTGATGATAAATGAAAGCTGAAATCTAAATGGCTGAGATCTCTGAGGGTTACCAGTGCCTCGTCCTAAACCGTATATTAAAATTAGTAGATATGCCATTAGAAGTGCACTCATTAGTGTAGTAGGTGAAGTACAGAAGTGTGCGATTTGGGATGAAAAATTCAAATGAGAAGCTGGCGAATAAGAAGCTGACTTCAGCTTCATGTGTGTGAGTTTACTATTTTAGAGGTCTGGCTGCCACTTTTATTAGCTTTTGTAAAATCTCACGCTGGAATTTTCTAAACTCTGGAGATGTAGCTGCAGTGACGGTGAGGAGACGAGCTCTATCAGAGCACAGTAAGAGTTACAGTCAGTTAACATCTGTCTGATCACTCATTTTTCTTTAAGCCGTTACCGATATGATTCCGATATCACTGTACATCCCTAGTTTTAGGTTTAGGTTTTTTCTAGAGATCTAATAAGAAAGTATGTAACAGTGTAATTTACACACAGTGAGAAAATTTATTAGGTACATCTAAATTGTTTCTACACTCACTGTTCATTTTATCAGCTCCACTCTGCAGTTCCACAATTACACACTGCAGTTCATCTGTTTCTCTGTAAACTGCACAGTTTGTGTTGGTCATCCTCTAGTTCTTCATCAGTGGTCACAGGACGCTGTTGGCTGGATATTTTTGGTTGGTATGTTGGCAATAACTCTGAGGTGTTTAAAAACTCCAGCAGCACTGCTGTGTCTGATCCACTCAGACCAGCACAACACGCACTAACACACCACCATCACGTCAGTGTTACTGCAGTGCTGAGAATGATCCACCACTCAAATAGTACCTGCTCTGTGGTGGTCCTGTGGGGGTCCTGACCACTGAAGAACAGGGTAAAAGGGGGCAAATAAAGTATGCAGAGAAACAGATGAACTACAGTCTGTAATTGTAGAACTACAAAGTGCATCTATATAGTAAGTGGAGCTGATAAAATAAACAATGAGTGTAGAAACAAGGAGGTAAACTTGATGTTATGGCTGATTGGTGTATTTCACGTTATACAAACACTGTTCAGCGAATTAGAGAGAAAAACTGTATGATACGGTATTAAAATACAGCTGTTGAGAGCCGGTGAGTTTATCACAGGATGTCAGAGCCTGTAGATAAGCTAATGGTTACGCAATGGCAGCAGTACCAGTTTGACGTGGCTAACAGCTAGACATGATCCTAAAGCTAATTTTATAAAGAATATCCACCACAAACAGGCTGCTTTTACAGCAAGACGGCTAAAAGTATATCTAAATGTGTTCCCTCACCCCCGAGGCGTTTGGTTTCACGTTTCTCTTTTCCTCGTCTATAACAAAACGTCCTAAAAAGAAAGAAACCTGTTAGCTAACCACGAAGCTAAAGTCAGCCTCTTGTTCAACTTTTCCGTTCCACCTTAAATGGTGCAGCTGTTACTAGTTGTGCGTCAGGCGCCAGTATGCAACTACTGCGCCATTTAAGGTGGAACGGGAAAATTCGAAAAACAAGCTGGTGAAAGAGAAGCCAACTTCAGCCTCGTTAGCTAAATTAGCGACATGTCATAGGACCGGGTGGGTGGCTCACCGTTACTTTGCCGTACAAAGCCAACCTACCTGTCGACCTATCTAGCTGTTTTAGGCCTTGACATTTGGTAATAAACATACATTTGTTTTAATCACGCTGACCCGTCGATATTAGACAGAATAACAGGTTAATAACAGACGACACACAGCGAATTAGCGTTAGCTAGGCCACACTGTAGGCTAGCAGAGACGCTAACTAGCCGCACAGACACTCATGACTCACCATGTAAACAACGTTGAGAGAGCAGAGGGCATTTTTTGAGCAAGTGAATCCTCCACAGACCATGTTGGACCCTGAGGCATTTATCAGCGGAGGTGAAGGTGTTAGGGGATTTCTAGAGCCTCTTCCTCTTGTTTTCTACTTCAGCTAGTTTCGCTCCGGGTTCAGCTCTAACTACCAATGACCGAGAAAGCCGCTCAGTCAGACCTACGAAAGAGCGAAGCCACAGATCATCAGCAGACGTGCTGACGGCAAGAGGGGCTACTCGGGCAACATGTTTGGTAGTGCATTGTGGGTAGAATCAGAATCTGAATATTTATTCGCCAAATACCAGAAGTACAAGCAGTTTATCTTGGTGCAGGTGTCAACATAAAATTAAATTAAATAAAATAAATACAGAAAAACATATACGAGCCTATATATTAGCATAAAATAGACAGTAAATTACACAAACAAACAGCAAGCAAAAAGATGTAAAGTGGGAAATAAGTACAGATACAGTCAAGTACTGGAGTAGTGAGGTACATATTTATATATATTGTATTGTATATTGTGTTTTTAGTATTAGTCATATGTTTACTTGCCCAGGGACTGCAGATGGAAATTAGCCTATTGGCTAACTCTGGTGTGCGAAGCATCTCTGCTTTTTTGAGATTAATGTTTTTTGTGTGGTCCTTGACAAAATAAACATAATAAACTAAATTAATATAAACAGTATGTAAAGCTAAAACAATTGGCCAGCAAATAGACATGTAAATGTAAACGTATTTATAAATTATGTATATTGTGTAAGTTAAAGCGCAGCACTTTTTGCTTGTTGAGTTTATAATGTGCGCTGACTACAGTAGAGCAAAGTGGGAAGGATTCTTTTGTCCATTTATATTTTTATTTATTCTTTAACTTCCTTACTTTTTTGTTAATTTGCAAATAAAACAAAAAATGACTTGCTTAATGTAATGTTTTTCTCCCAGAATATTTGTGCATATATTTGAGTGACATACATATATTTGAATTACATATATTTTGTGGGCAAATTTGAAATATTTGTATAAAATTTAAAAATATACTTTAGAAATATATTTTGGATATGTTGTTTTTCCATATGGATGGACTTCTAGCCTAGTATAATCCTGATGTTTCAACACCCATCAAAGGGGCTTGTCATTAAACTCATTTAAGAGTTGAACTTAAGTAATGTAAGTACTTTTTCCTGTAACAAAACTGTTCAAATTCTTATAACCACATTACAGTTACTGAATTACTTGCGTTCCTCACATGTCTCTAACAGATCACTGCTAACTTCATGATACACTTAAAACATACATTTCCTCTATATAGATTATCATTGCCTGTCCTGTCCTCTTGCCTGTGCAACCTGCCGACTGCGTGACTTTGTGAAATTGTGAATGTGACTAGCGCAGCACTTTTTGCTTGTTGAGTTTATGATGGGAAGTGCTGTAAACTCAGTGAGCAATCTGAGCAATTTGGGGACAGAAGGCTGTACTTTACTAATAATTGTAGTGATGCATTATTAACCTGTAACATTATAGTGATGTATAAAGATCTCCAAGCTGAGGAAAATAGAGCCCCAACCTCATTTAAACAGGCCAGACTCGACTTTCGTTCAGAAACAGCTCCCTTACCTAAATATGATAATATTACATTTTATTCATAATGGTTTTAAAGGAGAATTCCACCAATTTTTCAAAATGTAAGCAGAAGTCAGTGGTTAAGCTATAAGCTAAAGGCCTATTCGAGCTGGATTGGTTTTACCAGAGGAGGTCTCGTAATGTCATTTGTGTGTGATTTGACTGGTATAAAGGATCTGTGTAATTTCCCCAAATTACTCAGAATAGCCTGGAACACTGAAACATCAGTAGCCGTTTACCTCAGTATTAAGCGACAGGCGCCACACTTTCAAACAATAACAACACATTGTGCAGCTAAATGTTAAATATGATGCCAAAAAATGGACGAGAACAAGGGAGGACACTCATTTCAGTGAGGGGTGATGGCCGAAAGCAACAGCAATTCCAAATGATGGTGCATAATCATAGCGTATGGGAGGGAATATACACCAAATTACTGTGGATTTCAGTAGTCTTGTTATGAATTTGAGGATTAATCAAGCTCTATTTTAGCTGTTAACTTTGCCTTCAGGTCACACAAAAATTATACCAAAAAAAATGGAGGTGCCGTTTTCTATTACCCAGTTTTGTAATTACATTACTGTGATGTCAGTTTGAACAGGACTACTATTACCGAGGGAGCTCTGAGTTCTGTGAATTATAGAAGGTAATTTGTTCCTGAATTACTACTTAGCAGACTTGTAAAAACTATGGACATGGCAGATTCTAACTGGGCTATAATTATGGATCCCATCGGTAATCACTCAAATTAGAGCACTTCCCAGGTCAAAACTAATCCAGCTCAAATAGGGCTTTAGTCATTCAGAGTGGTTTGATGTGAAATTGTTCATTGTAGAGAAACTTACAGACTCAGATTTCTTCACAGTGGTGTTGGGGGAACTGGGGGTCACAATGTCTAAAACACTAATATAGCCATTTTATTTACCATCCAAAATGACCAGTGAACCTACTTGTGTCTATCTTTAATGTTGATGATGGTGCAAAGTAGTGTTAAATTTAAAAAAATATATTTTAAAAAGTTTTCTATTGGTGCTATTTTGCCTTGCAACGCCCTGCTTGACCTCCTCCACCATGGCTGGATTTAAAAAAATAAGTTTTAAACCAAATCTGTCATAAAACAATGTCTTAGGCATCAGGAAACATATGCAATACCTTTCTCCAAAGGGAGCTTTGAGAGGCACTTCATTCTTCAGACGTCTGATTCCTATCACCACCACTGTGAACAATTCTGACTCAGTAAGTTTCACACCAAACCACTCTGAATGACTTTGTTTACATCTTAGCCATTTAATTATGCAGAAATTTTGAAAAATCAGTGGAATTCCTCTTTAAATCCTACCGGTGCATTGTGTCTGTTTCAACTCATGAAACCCCAGAATAAAGTAAAAACATTTGTGAAAATGTCTCAAAGTATTGTGATGTTATATGTTTACCACGCCATCCAGCCCTACCAGCCACCATGTGACCTTTAAGATTAAGAAGTGGTCTATCTACACTATCTAAGAGTATCTTTGGTGACGCACAGCTGCACATTATGTTCAACTCTGCCAGCAGCCCACAACTGTGTTCCTGTGTAATGCTGCCTACATTCAGACCGTGCCAGTCATGCTTTTGGTAGTTTGCAGTAGGTACTATTTCTATTGTATGTATAACACTAAAATTGTACACCTGTGAGTTTCAGTCATCGAAGGTTATGTAATATAATACATAATGTTAGGATTAGGAAGTGGGAAGTATGATGATATTTATTGCTATCATGATAAATTATGTATGATTATACCACAATATGCTTTTCTGAGCATAATGTTGATATCATCAGTACCTTATTTCATTACAAAGAGCATAACTAGTCCTGGTTAACTGGATTTAGTGCAGCACATTTTGGGAAACACTGAAAAAAATCACTATATTTTATAGTTTTGGACAGTACTTTTTGGCACCACTGGTTATTTTTTCCTCTGTTCCAACTCCAAACAAGAAAACTAAGTACTGTGATGCATATCATGTATTGACAAAATGTCTTGAAGTATCAAAATGTTATATTTTTGCCATGTCGCACATCCCTATGTTGTAGTATAGTATATACTGTATAGGGACCATAGTCCCATAGTCATGAGCTAATTAAACCCAAGACATTCATTGAGACAGTAATAAGCTAAAAATACACAAAATTGTCATTTATAGGTTACTTTCTATTGGGAGGTATCTGACCTAAACCCTAAATTTGAAAATAAAAATTTCAGTTTTTTCTAAATATCTTTTTGATTTCTTTTAAAGTGAAGTTGACAGATTAAGATTTATGGTGAGTTTCAGAAAAAATGCTGTCCCATATTTTCTTTTCATTGTCGAAACACAAAGAGTTTTAGTCTGTAGCCTTATTTTAGACACACCACTACGTTTTAGAGCAGGAAGTGAGACTGCATCCCTGTAGTCTCACTTCATGGCCACATGGTGAGCAGATAGATCCCATTGTTTTTGCTAATCATGCAGTGGTTAGCGTTTCTGAGTTACCAAAACAGTCGCCACTGAAACATTTGGTAAAGTTTCGGTAGTGTTATGATTACTTTGTTAGCGACAAAATTGAATGTTCAACCATTTCCTTTAATAAAATAATTAAGATATAATTAGGGTCACTCAAAGCAAAATGATTTTAGTCTGAAGTCAAAGTCAGTTAAAAGTCCAAAATGTCTTTTGAATTTTGAACCAATTCGGAAGAATGATCCAAATAATGCAGTGGCAAAGGCCTTCAGTTCAGGGCATAAACATCAAAACCACATCTTCAACAATGTTAATTTCTGCTAGAGCCACTACAGGAATTTTACTAGTATGCTAGTGTTAAGCGGCTGGTATTAATGGGCTAGTGTTAATGCTGTAATCGGGAGCTCATCGAAAGGTTGTACATACTAGATGGTAAAATAGTCAATACATTCGGTTGCTTGGTGAAAGATGCACCCACCACACACAGAAAGAAAGGAAGGAGGTCTGGAATGTATATTCTGCTTTTTCTTTGCTATATTATAAAGGACATAGATCACATAGAAGTACATCAAGTATATTTTTCCCCTTTCACCACCAAGTTTATTGCGTTTTTTATCAGCGGAAGAGGTGAATGGTTGTGTTATATGTCACATCTCATAAACTAACTAAGTTTTATAATTTTTTGAAAAATATTTGCCCATTTTGAATTCGATGCCAACAACATATTACAAAAAAGTTGGGACGGGGGCAACAAAAGGTTGGTAAAGTTGTGTAATGCTAAAAAAAAACACCTAACAACAGGATAGTAACATGATTGGGTATAAATTAGCATCCCAGAGAGGCTGAGTCTTTCAGAAGTTAAGATGTGGAGGGGTTCACCACTCTCTGAATGACTGCCCAAGCAAATAGTGCAACAATTCAAGAATAAGGTTTCTCAACATAAAATAGCAAAGAACTTTTGCTTTTCACCATCTACGTCACATAATATTAAAAGATTCAGAGAGTCTGGAGAAATCTCTGTATGCAAGGAACAAAGCCAAAAACCAGTATTTGCTGGCCAGGATCTTCGGGCCCTCAGACATGATTCTGTAATGGAAATCAC